GACGGTTGGACTGGGGGATGGTTGTTTCAGTGGCGGTTGGTGTGGGGACAGTTCGCGTCAGGACTGTTGTCTTGTTGACAGTTGGTGTGGCGACGCTTGGCCTGGCAACGGTTGGTGTGGGAACCGGGAACCGTTGTCTTGGCGATGGTGGGTGTGGGGTGGTTGGCTTGGGGAGGGTTGTCTCGGGCCCGTTTGGTATGTGGACGGACGATGTGGTGAGCATTGTTTCAGCGATGGGTGTCTTTGTGACGGGTGTCTCTGTGACTGTTTTCTCGGGGATGGTTGGCGTGGGGACAGTTGACATGGCGACTGTTGGTGTGGGAACAGTTGTCATGGCGACAGTTGGTGTCGGGGCAGTTGTCACAGTGACGGTTGGCTTGGGGACGGTTATCTTGTTGATGGTTGTCTTTGCGACGGTTGTCTCAGTGGCGGTTGGCGTGGCCATGGTTGGCTTGAGAAAGGTTGTCTTAGCGATAATTGGCGTGGGGATGGTTGTCTCAGTGACGGTTGGCGTGGGGACTGTTGTCTCGGCGATGGTTGGTGTGGGGACGGTTGTCTCCGCGATGGTTGGCATGGGAACCATTGTCTCATCGACGGTTGGTGTGGGGGCCGTTGTCTCGGTGACAGTTGGCGTGGCGGCGGTTGGCGTGGGGACCATTGTCTCGGCGACGGTTGGCGTGGGTACTGTTGTCTCGGTAACGGTTAGCGTAGGGACCGTTGTCTCGGTGGCGGTTGGCATGTTGACGGTTGGCATGGGGACTGTTGTCTCGGCAACGGTTCGTGTGGCGACGGTTGGCATAGGGACCTTCGTATTGGCGACGGTTGGCGTGGGGATGGTTGTCTCAGTGATGGTTGGCGTGGGGACCGTTGTCTCGGCGACGGTTGGCGTGGGGACCGTTGTCTTGGCGACGGTTGGCGTGGTGACTGTTGATGTGGGGACCGTTGTCTTGGTGACGGTTTGCGTGGGGACTGTTGTCCTGGTGACGGTTAGCGTTGGGTTTGTTGTGTTGTCGATGGTTGGCATGGCGGCAGTTGGCATGGGGACCGTTGTCTCGGCGACGGTTGGCGTGGGGACCGTTGGCCCGGCGACGGTTGGCGTGGGGACCGTTGGCCCGGCGACGGTTGGCGTGGGGACCGTTGGCCCGGCGACGGTTGGCGTGGGGACCGTTGGCCCGGCGACGGTTGGCGTGGGGACCGTTGGCCCGGCGACGGTTGGCGTGGGGACCGTTGGCCCGGCGACGGTTGGCGTGGGGACGGTTGCCATGGGGATGTAGATGTCTAGGCAACGGTTGGCATGGGAATCGTTGTCTTGGCAATGATTGTGTCCGAGACAGTTTGCGTGGGCACAGATGGCATGGGGTCGGTTGGCCTGGGGGACGGTTTGCCTGGGGGACGGTTGGCGTCGGGACAGTTGGCGTGGGGACCGTTGTCTCGGTGACGGTTGGCTTGGCGACGGTTAGTGTGGGGGCGGTTGACGTGGGGAGGGTTGTTTCGGGTCCGGTTGGCGTGTGGACGGATGGCGCCAGGACCGTTGTTTCAGAGATGGGTGTCTCTGAGATGGGTGTCTTGTGGACAGGTATCTTCAGGATGGCTGTCTTTGTAACGGGTGTTTCGGGGACAGTTGGCATGGGGACGGTCGTCATGCTGATGGTTGGCTTGGGGACAGTTGTCTTAGTGACGGTTGGCGTCTTGATTGTTGTTTTGGTGACGGTTGTCATGGGGACCGATGTTTTGGTGATAGTTGGCATGGGGACCGTTGTCTCGGCGACGGTTGGCGTGGGGACCGTTGTCTCGGGGACAGCTAGTGTGGGGACGGTTGTCTCGGTGACAGTTGTCTTGGAGATAGTTCCCTCAGGGACGAATGCCGTCTGGATCATTGTCTCAGCGACGGTTGGCGTGGGGATTGTTGTCTCGGTGACGGTTCCCTCAGGGGCGATGGTTGCCGTGGGGACCATTGTCTCTGCAACGGTTGGCGTGGGGCAGTTGGCGTGGGGATTGTTGTCTTGGGGACGGTTGGCGTGGGGACGGTTGGCATGGGGATGGTTGGCGTGGGGAACGTTGTCTCGGCGAACGTTGGCATGGCGACGGTTGGCGTGGGGACCGTTGGCGTGGGGACCATTGGTGTTGGGATGGTTGTTTTGTGGAGGATTGTCTTGGGAACGATTTTTGTGGGGACAGTTGGCCTAGAGGACGGTTGTATTTGGGACGGTTGGTATGGGGGGAGTTGTCACGGCGACGGTTGGCTTGGATGCAGATGTCTGCGCAACGGTTGGCGTGGGGACAGTTATTTTGTTGATGGTTGTCTTTGCAATGGTTGTCTCAGTGACAGTTGACGTGGACACGGTTGGTGTGGGGATAGCTGTCTCGGGGACGGTTGTCTCAGCGACAGCTGGCGTAGAGAAGGTTGGCATGGGGACGGTTCTTTTGCCGACGGCTGTCTGAGGGACAGTTGGCCTGGGGACAGTTGTCTCAGGGATTGTTGGCATGGGGACAGTTGTCTCGGGGAGAGTTGGCTTGTGGATGGTTCTTTTGCCGATAGTTGTCTTGGGGACGGTTGTCTCGATGACAGTTGGCGTGCGGACAGATAGCGTGGGGACCGTTGTTTCAGCAATGGTTGTTTCAGCGTTGGTTGGCGTGGGGTCAGTTGGCGTGGGGACCGTTGTCTCGGCAACGGTTGGCGTGGGGATAGTTGTGTTAGCGACGGTTTTCTCAGCAAAGTTTGGTGTGGGTATGGTTGTGTTGGCAACGGTTTTCTTGGGGATGGTTGGCGTAGGGACAGATGGCGTAGGGACCATTGGCGTTGGGATGGTTGTCTTGGGTATTGTTGGCATGGGGATGGATGTCGCGGGCACAGTTGTTTTGGGGAGGGTTGTCTCGGGGATGATTGTCATGGGGGCAGTTGGCCTGGGGACGGTTGCATCGGGGACAGTTGGCATGGGGGGAGTTGTCATGGCGACGGTTGGCGTGGATGCAGATGTCTACGCAGCGGTTGACGTGGGGACGGTTATCTTGCTGATGGTTGTCTTTGAGGTGGTTGTTTCAGCGATAGTTGGCGTGGGCATGTTTGGCCTGGGGACGGTTGTTTCAGCAACTGTTGGGGTGGGGATTGTTGGTGTGGGGATTTTTGTCTCGGGGACGGTTGACTCAGCGACAGCTGGCATGGGGAAGGTTGGCATGGGGACGGTTCTCTTGCTGACGGTTGTCTGGGGGACGGTTGGCGTGGGGGCGGTTGTCTCGGGGGTTGGTGGCGGGGGGGCCTCGGGGAGAGTTGGCTTGTGGGTGGTTCTTTTGTCGACAGTTGTCTCGGGGACAGTTATCTTGATGACGGTTGGCGTGTGGACAGATGGCGTGGGGACCGTTGTTTCCGCAACGGTTGTTTCAGCGTTGGTTGGCGTGGGGTCGGTTGGCGTGGGGACGGTTGTTTCAGCGACTGTTGGCATGGGGATGGGTGTCTCAGGGATGGTTGGCGTGGGTATGGTTGTTTCGGGGATGGATGTCTCAGCGACAGCTGGCATGGGGAAGGTTGGCGTGGGGACGGTTCTCTTGCTGATGGTTGTCTGGGCAACGGTTGCCTGGGTGACAGTTGTCTCGGCGGCAGTTTGCGTGGGGACGGTTGTTTTGGGGACGGTGATCGTGTGGATGGTTGGTTTGGGGATAGTTGGCATGGGGACAGTTGTCTCGGCGTCAGTTGGTGTGGGGTTGGTTGTGTCAGCAATGGTTGTCTCGGGTATGGTTGGTGTGGGGACGCATGGCGTGGGGACCGTTATCTCAGCAACGGTTGTTTCAGTGATGGTTGGCGTGGGGATGGTTGGCGTTGGGACAGTTGTCTCAGTGTTGGTTGGCGAGGGGGCGGTTGTCTCGCGGACGGTTGCTTTGGGCATTGTTGTCTCGGGGACAGTCATCTTGGGAAGGGTTTTCTCGGGGACGGTTGGCGTGGGGACCGTTGTCTCAGTGGTGGTTGGTTTGGGGATGGTTCTCTTGCTGGCTGTTGTCTCAGGGACGGTTGTCTCGGCAACAGTTGGCATGTGGACAAATGATGTGGGGACTGTTATATCCACAACAATTGTTTCAGCGATGGTTGGTGTGGGGTCAGGTGTCTCGGGGACGATTGGTGTGGGGACGGTTGTCTTGGCGAGGGTTGGCGTGGAGATCGTTGTGTTGGCGATGGTTTTCTTTGTGACGGTTGGCCTGGGGACCGTTGTCTCTGCGACGGTTGGCGTCAGGATGGTTGGCATGGGGACCGTTGTCTCGGATATGGTAGGCGTGGGGACGATTGGCGTTGGGACTGTTGTCTCAGCGACGGTTGGCACGGGGATGGTTGTGTTGGTGACAATTTTCTCAGGGATGGTTGCTGTGGAGACCGTTGTGTTGGCGACGGTTTTCTCGGGGATGGCTGGCGTGGGGACAGATGGCATGGGGACTGTTGTCTCCGCAACGGTTGTTTCAGTGACGGTTGGCGTTGGGATAGTTGTCTTAGCGTTGGTTGGCGTGGGGATGGTTGTCTTGGGGACGGTTGTTTTGGGCATCGTTGCTTTGAGGACGCTTGGCGTGGGGGCAGTTGGCATGGGGACTGTTGCCTGGGGGATTGTTGGCATGGGTACGGTTGTCTCAGGAATGGTTGTCTCGGGGACGGTTGGCGGGGGGACTGTTGTCTTAGTGATGGTTGGCGTGGGGATGGTTCTGTTGCTGACGGTTGTCTCGGCGATGGTTGTCTCGGCTGCAGATATCTGGGTGATGGTTGTCTTGGCTGCAGATGTCTTGGGGATGGTTGTCTCAGCGACAGCTGGCGTGGGGATGGTTGCCGTGGGGATTGTTTTCTCAGCGAAGGTTGGCTTGGGGACGGTTCTGCTGCTGGTGGTCGGCCTAGGGGGATGGTTGGCCTGGGGGACAGTTGTGTTGATGTTGGTTGTGTTGATGACAGTTGGCGTGGAGGTGTTTGTCTCGGGGACAGTTGCTGTGGCGACAGTTGTCTCGGCGACAGTTGGCGTGGGGAACGTTGTCTTGGGAACAGTTGGCGTGGGGACAGTTGTCTCGGCAACAGTTGGTGTGGTGGACCGTTGTCTCAGAGAAGGTTGGCGTGGGGAAGGTTCTCTTACTGACTGTTGTCTTGGGGGCGGTTGCGTCAGGGATAATTGGCACGGCGACAGTTGGAGTGGATACGGATGTCTCGGCAAAGGTTGGCGTAGGGACGGTTGGCGTGGGAACCGTTGTCTCAGCAACGGTTGGTGTGGGGACCGTTGGCTCAGTGACGGTTGGTTGCTGATAGTTTTCTTGGTAGCGTTGAGTGTGGGGATGGTTGTCGTGGGGATGGTAGGCGTAGAGATGATTGTCTTGGTGAAGGTTCTCTAGGCGACGGTTGCGTTGGGACACTTGTCTCGGCGGTGGTTGTTGTGGGGACAGTTGTCTCGGGGACGGTTGTCTCAGGGATTGTTGTCTCGGTGACGGTTGGCTTGGGGACAGTTAGTGTGGGGACGATTGTGTCAGGGACTGTTGTCACGAGGACGGTTGGCGTGGGCACAGTTGTCTCGGTTGTCCCAGGGACAGCGGTTGGCGTGGGGGCAGTTGTCTCGGGGACGGTTGGCGTGGGGACGGTTGGCGAGGGGACTGTTGTCTCGATGACGGTTGGCGTGGGGATGGTTGGCGTTGGGACGGTTGCCTCAGGGACGGTTGGCATGGGGACGGTTGCCACGGCGATGGTTGGCGTGGGGACAGTTGTCTCAGTGACGGTTGGTGTGGGGACAGTTGTCTTGGCGACAGTTGTCTTGGCGACAGTTGGCGTGGGGACGGTTAGCATAGGAATGGTTGTCTCAGCGAAGGTTCTCTAGGCGACTGTTGTGACGGTCTCAGCGACGGTTGATGTGGGGACGGTTGTCTCGGGGATGGTTGTCTTGGCGATGGTTGGCGTGGGGACGTTTATCTCGGCGACGGGTTTCTCGGCGACGGTTTTCTCGGCGACGGTTGGTGTGGCAACGGTTTTCTCGGTGACGGTTGGTGTGGCGACGGTTTTCTCAGCGACAGTTGGTGTGCGACGGTTGATGTGGCAACTGTTGGTGAGGCCACGTTTGTCTTGGCGGCGGTTGGTGTGGCAACGGATTTCTCAGCGACAGTTGGAGTGGCGACAGTTTTCTCTTTGAGAAAACCCACGGCACAGAGTCTATGTGAAGTCCAATATTGAAACTGGAGAGAAAGAGGAGCTGTGGGAAGGGGGAGGGGGGGATGTGCAGGTCTCTTCAGTGCAGGTCTCTTCATTTCTTGTCTTGTGAGAATGAAAACAAAGCTAGTCACAGGGATGTGCGTGCTGAGAAAGATCACTACACAATTAAAAACAGCTGTTTCTGTAATTGTTGCTGTTATGTGGAAGAAATGGAAATGTATGTTTAAAATAAGGAGGGTTGTTTTCAAAACACCAAACTCTGAAGCTTTTTAGCTTGCCAGGTTAGGAAAACTGAATGGGTGGCAGGACATCTTGGTGTCTGCAACCTTATCAGCTGTCTCTGATTTCCATGCCTAAATTAGTGAGCTGCTACAGAGAGGTGAGAAAATGCTTATCCGTGGAATGGTATTCCTGATACACAACAACACTTTGCTGGTCTTAAAGTGAAAGATTCCCACGTAGTATTACCAGCCTGACGTGTACGCAGATAAAAAGCACTCTCCAAAATCTTGGAGGCTGTCTGAAGTTACTAACAAAACAAAGCTTGGCTGATTTGAAGGAGCAACGCAAATTTCTGACATTTTTCTTCTGATTGCTGCCTTGAAACAATAGTAAGCAACAGGGTGGATTTTTTAGAGACTCTAGCAGCCATATTTTGCTTTGAAAATAGGACTGAAGAGTTAGGCAGCTACAGGGGAAGAGCCTTGACTGTAAGGGAGTACAAGTAGCTGTTTTGGAGAGAGTCTGGGGCTAAAAGGACTCTGAAAGCCTGCAACCCATAGCATGCCTGTGCATGAAGATGGAAGAGGGTGTTCATTTTCCCTGTGCATGAGTGACTCTTCCCCAGGGTGCTGCCACAGTCCTGTGGAGAAAGCTGTCTGCTAGATGCATGGGTGATGGAGTGAACGGGTGAGATCCACCCCAAGAGACAGAGACAGTAGCTGGGGTTGAGGCTGGAGGCTGGTGGAAGACAAAACACGAGCTGGATTCTAGAGCAGGCAGAGGGAAGGGAAAGGAAGAGAGATGAGGAGGTGGGCTCTTTTGTGTGTTGTATTTCAGTGCTGCGTGTGATCAAAATACTGCATGTGATCTCCCCATGGTGACTTCACAGCATTTGTTTCTATTTCAGGAAAGAGAAAGGTTTGGGTTTTCTGCTAGAATACCTACTCAGGTAATTATACTTCTGCCTGTAGAATTTCCCTGTAGCCTTAATAGTAGTTGTCGTTCTTCACTCCCACTCTTAAAAAGTAAGCAAATGCAGACCTGCTGCTGTGTTTTGGGAACACAGCGGTGGTTGTTCTGCTGAGGCAAGTGAAGTGACCCTGCCATGCATCATTTATGCTAGATTTAGTCCTAGTAGAGTGTTGCATCTAATCATGCTACTCTGTAGCTCTCAACTTTCTATGCCTGGCTTTAGCATAATAAATTGGTCTTGCTAGTGATGCTGCTAGATGATAGTGAGACAGCTAGCTGGAAGCCAATGAAAAGGCGACGAAGAGCCAAGAGAAAACCATATGGAGGGAGAAGGATTTCTCTTTACGAATTATAAGTGAAAGCGTCTCTGTATCCCACTAGCTGCTTTTTCCCTTCTTTGCATCAGTTTTATGGGTGGGAGGTGGTTGCAGTTGATTAGCAAATTCTAGCAGATCTCTTTAGCTAGAACAAATGCTGTAAACGGTAGATGTTTCAGGCAGCTCTGGTACTAAAAATCAACAGGCCAACACTGTAATGGTAATAATAAATATGTAATAGTTATTAGACTAATGTTAACTACAGTATTACGTAGGTTACCAGCATGATAGAAATAGTATTGTTTTGCAAAATATGTTAAATGAAGGGTCTCATGTCTCAAATTGAGCTGATGTCGTGATTTTCTTCTGAGCAGTAGAGCTAATAAAGTCCAGGTCAGTCTGGAAGATATTTCTGCAGATGCTTAATTCTCTTTGAAGTCAAACATAGGCCTTGTACACTCAGAGCCTTATACAGAGATTTAAAACAGAGGATCTCCAACATTAATAAATTAAGACTTATCAAGTATAGCGTAGATAGTAAATGGAACCAAGATGATTGAAACAAATTACTGATTCATGTGATTTAGTCTTTCTCTTCACAGAATGTTCACATACAGATTGTGTTGCTATTGAATGCAGTTCTTATTCAGATTTACTAAATGAATGTTGCGGTGAGTGTGTGGGTTTAAAAAAAATTCTGTTAGCTAATTCTGTATAGTTCACATCCTCAAGACTCAAGCTGTTTCACATATGTTGCTGTTTCAGTCTCCCCAACTGAATGCTATTCAAATGGATCGCACCAAATCCCTGCTTGAATAAGTATTATGGAGTAGGGGGGCTTAAAGTCTGTCTTTGGGGTTGCAAGTTTCTTATAAAGATGGGGTAGTTTAAGGAAAGCCTGACAAGTAAGAAATGAGAATTTTTGACAAAACTCAGTGTCTTCCTTCCTCTCCAGTAAGAGCAAGTTCATGCTACTAGTTCCTGTTCCTGGAAGAGTTGGGTACTGTGCTACTTAGTTGAGAGCAGAGTATGCTGGAATGTTTTTGTTCTTATTGTAACATTCAAAGCAGCTTTTGCACAGTGCTCTCTTGAACAAGGACTCAGGCTGGCCTTTCATGGTTTTAGTTGCAATATGGTGAAATACTAAGTGTGCGTGTGTAGGTGGGGTGCACTGGTATCTGATTGTAAGACTGCCCTGATGGTTTTGAAGGGCAGCTGTTCATGGTGTTCAGAACCTCTGTGTTGTGTCCTACCTCTGCATTAAATTCTGTGCAGAACACAGCTTGCCTGAGAGGCACAGGAGCTTCTTCTTTCTATATCCAACTGGAAAAACTTCATAAGTTGAAGAATGGTGCTTCTCTGAAGTACGTGTTTTGCCTGCACCCCTCTTGTTCCTTTCCCCCTCTCAACCAACAGTAAAAATTTCCTGCTTCTCTGTTAAATTGATATCTAGGAAAGCTGCTCGTCTCCACCTTAGATGCTTTTGCTCTCAACTCAAATACACCAGCCTTTTCTGTCTTTGGTGAAACTGCCTATGAGTGTTAGGTGTATTTGCTGGTCTCAACAGGATCTGCGTTGTCACGCCTACTTGAATTGGTGGATATTCTGGTCTTCTGGGAAAGCTTGTGTTTCTGCTATTAAAGAGTCCTTGTGGACTGCATGGAATGGAAGAGTCCTGTGCTCTGCATAGTAACTCACAGTGGCATTCTCCAAAACAATTCAGTGCAGGTGAAGGCAGCTTCTGTATCAGGTAGGTTGGGAGTAGTTCAGGAGTCTCCCATCAGTTTGTTGGGCTGAGCTGGCCTTTTTCCCACGCCTTTTGAGACCTGTACCATTTTATCTGGAATATTGGATGCTGGATTTAGCATCAAATTTGAAGCCACTGATACTAGTGGCTAACTTCTCAAAGATACAGCGGAAATTGCCAGGGGTTCTCCCTCTGAGCTTTTGGGCTAAACCAAAATATACCTCAAGAGAATACATCAACCTGGAAGTGTAAACCTTTATGGGGGGCAAACCAAACCCCTATGGAAATAGGGGGAACTCATATGTATGGTCGGAAGGGTTCCCGACTGCAGTTTAGGCTTTGTGGCAAAGCTCAGGAGAAGTGCTGTTGTCTGAAATCTAGATGTCTGTGAGAAATACAGAGACTACCTGACTTGACTGCAGTTTTCCCATGCTAGGGGTAAAGGGGGAGTTGTGAAGTTTAATTAGACTCTAGATTTGAACCTTCCTCATGGGTGTAACTGGCGTTCTCCTTTCAGCTTATCTGCATTAGCGTTGCCACATGTTGGACTTGGGATGCTCCTGGAATGAGAAGTGGAGCATAGAATATAGCTGCTTTCCAGGGACGGCCTTGTCAGAATCTGTGATTCAGCTCTTTGCCTTAGGGATTAAACTTGGAGTATTCATGTACTTTTAAATTTCTTTTGAAACAGTTTGCTGAGATGAAGTCTGTGCTGTTAGAGCCCTGCTGCTGTTCACAGAATGCTGCCTGAGCTGAGCAAAGCTCTTCAGACACTGTTTTCCTGAATTTGAACAGGCAAAGCACAAAGCCCTGGCTTCTCGAGTTCCTTGAGCAGGCAGCAGAGGTGAGGTGAGGAGCTGCTTGTTCCTGGTGGCATTTGTGTGCTGCTGTGAGACTCCCCAGAGCCAGTTCTGTTTCATCTGTTGGGGGACAGGGGCTGTAACTTTGTTTGTATAAGCCTGCACAGAATTGAGGTTGTCCTGCTGAGAGTTTTAGACATTCTTGTAGTGTGAAGTAGTATGTGGGAACAAACTTTGTATATGTGTAGTCTAAGAATCTGCTAAATATTCCCTTTTATTCAGCTGTTGCTCGCACTCAATTCCCGAAGTCCTCTGCTATACTTTCACGCAAAATGTTTTCAGTCCTAATGCAAAAGCTGTTCAGAAATAGATTGATGCTGTTTTTTCTGTCTAAATGGGGAATGGTCCAGATTTGTGAGAGCTGAGATCAAAAACTTGTTGTATGCTTTTATTTAAACAAAA